GTACACGTGTATAAATGGCAGGGGTAGACATGAACGTGATGTTGAGCATGGTTTCTAAGATGAAGAGATAAGGTTGCATAATCTTACTAAGCATCATTGTGGCTTGGATGGGTAGCATGTGGCTCAGTCAAGTTACAATCATGGTTGAGGGAGCACCGACTATGTTTTTATCGAGGTTTTGGACCTGCAAAATCGAACTGGAACGGGTAATTGCACATGGGGGTGGAAGTGGTTTAACAGGTCTAATTGGTAAATTGGCCGATTTGATTATTGTAATTGAGTAAGTTCAAGGCACGGTCAAAAAATTTTTGAAAAAAATTAAAAAAGATATAAAAAAATCTATTAAACTGTGAAAAACATATAAAGAATGATTAAAACAAAACATATTCAAATGAAATTGAAAATCAATGAAAAAAATGGATTTTAAATAATCGATTTATGCTTAGGGATATTTTTTATTTTTTTTAAAAAAAGTTAGAAAAATATAAAAATGAGTATTAATGACCAAAACAATTTAAAATATTACCATAATGTAAATAATATTAAAAAATGTATTACAAATCAAATTCATTATTCTTGGGATTTTATATACATTTTTCTGAAAATTTTTTTAAATACTGACCGATCACCAAAACCGCCGAGAACCGAAACCGGCAAGGGCCGGGTCCGATCTAACCTGGCGGTTACTAGTTAGATAGCCCGGGTTTTCTAACATTGTTTTAGACACAGGGAGACTCAAGTTTTACTAATCCCACTCTAATGGCTCTTACACCTATGTGGAGTCGGGAAAATAAAAGTGAGATGTTTTTCAAAGGCTTAAAAAACAATTTTATTTTTGAAATTAAAAAATAATTATGTATATTTCATATTTTTCAAACAAGTCTTAATTTTTTGGGAACATAAAGTATATTTTAATTTTATCTATTTTAATGGATTAGGTTAAGCTCAAATTGAGTGTACCCATGCTTTTACTATTAGGCTTATAAAAATACTAATTTATAATATTTTTAATATTAATGCACCATTTCTATTGTAATTATCTTCCATTAATAAAGTTGTTAACGGTTATCAAAAAAATATTCATGTGTGTACAAGGCTGAGGCCTTAAACAATCAAGGCAAGGTGCACCTTCAAATAGCGTTGAAAGAAAGATGTGGTTTCAGTACATAAAATCTTTTTGATGGCCTGAAAATTTATTTTCTATCTCTAATTATAAAATTTAAAGCCTATAAATAATGTAGATTAGGCAGATTTATGAACAGTTGAAGATCTTAAAATTGACAGTCTAGATACAACATTGTAAGTTGCATTATTTCTATTTTTACATCTATGTATCTCAAGTTCATGATACTCGGATTTGAGTGTTTTAGGCATCGAAACAATTTTTAATGATTTTTGAGGTGCGCTTTAGTTTGAGTGTTTAGAGCTTCAACCTTTTGTACCTTAAAATAAACTAAAACTACCAAATTGCCCCTAATAAGTTTGATAATTTTATTGACTTTAATTTATTTTTAAAATATTTTTATAAATGTATGACGGTGAAAAGTATATATCTTCCAAATTTATAATGAATCCAATCTATAAAAATAAGATAAAATGTAAGATACATTTAATACCTCTGGACCGCGTATAGGAATGCAGTCCCGCAAAACAATTTTCCTTATTTTAAAAATAAAATATAAAACACGACTTATATGTAAATTTCCATAAAACAGTGTCAAGACAGAAAGCCCTCTTTCCAGTTGGCGACATGCTTGAATCAGGGGAAAACTTCTTTTCTATAAACCAAAAGAATCATTACAAAGGTGAAGAGAGAGTGATTTAGTCATAGCTAATGATTCAGGCATGTGTGAATTAGGGGTAAGGTTCGACTGTACGAGTTTCTTACATATTTATTAGTATAAGTAATCCTTAAGTTACATTCTCCATGTATGCATAAGCTTGATTAGTTTTAGTTTTCTGAATTTTTTATTATTTCATTAGTGGCACAAACAACAGCAACATGGATGGATCACTATTTCACATATTGAGATATTTGATTTATGTTAAATGCAATCCTATACCGAGGTTCTTGCCTTTCTCCTAATAGCTTTCATATCAATTGAGTTGTTTTCTTGTTGTTTGTTAATGTAATTTTCGTATTTAGTGGGAAGTCTCAGGTTTTTCTGAAGAAAGTCAGTGTCCATTAATTGATATGAATATACGGACTTGTCTTTTATAGATAAATTGTAGATGACACTAATAGAAACTTAATCATAGACACCTAAACTATACCTAGACTTATCATAAAATACAGGACACAATATCCTACCCTTCCTATATTTATTGATTACAATATACACCTGCTATATTTACTGGATATACAATATTTACTTTTCTTTCACACTCCCCCTCAAACTCAAGATGGTATGAAAGAGAACAGCTGGACTTTGAACACCAAGTCACGGAAACGAACAATAGGATCTTCAGGGACATACTCAGATCGCTTGATTAACAAGCACAAAAAGCAGTAGCAAATCAACAAGCTCAGTGATTTTTCTAATTTACTTAATATTTTTTTTGCTCAAGTGAAAATCGATTACTTGCGGAGATATTGATTCGATATATTGTAGTTACCCAACTTGCTAACAAGGTCCCTAGACCTAAAGATTTTCATCCAAGTGGGGTAAGTGAGGAAGAATTGCACCTTCGTAAATTTAAACCAACTTACGTGAAAATCATCTTTGTATTAACAATAGGGATTGTCTGTACATGGAGGTCAAAATTATTATTGTCCCTTAACTTTCTACACTGTATCAACCTTACGAGTTTTGTGCAATGCCCATCTTAAAGATGGACGTAGGTGAGGTAGCGGGGCTCTTGCACCCACTGACTTATGAAGGGCTTTCCCTTTATATATATATATATATATAGGTAGCCTAGGGCCATCCAATTGAGATTAACTAACTTATGTTTAGACAACCTGTCCCAAACATATATAATTCATATGTGCTCGAAAAGCTATGGCAATTTTTACTAAAGTAAATAAGGATTCATTTTATTTTGGAAGAAAAATTGATATTTTCATTCCAATATCCAAGGCATCCAATTAGATTTTCGAAGTCTAATTATGACCTCCTTGTAACAAAGAGAAATTGTCTTATAATATATACTCCTTAAAAAAATGGTGTCTAAAGTGTTAAGATTAAACAATTCAAGTAAGGCGCACCATCAAACCATGCCAAACAATGCAGTTTTGGTGCTCAAAACATTTGTGATAGTCTAAAACTATTTCCACTCAAATTATAAAATATAAATCTCTAAAAAGGTACAAATCGAATAGATCTATAAGTACTTAAAATCTTGAAAATAGAAGGTCTAGATACTGCTATACATGATACACTATTTTCATGGCTTGAAATCTTTTTTGTTTCCATATCCATACATTTCAAAGTTGAGATGATCAACTTGGATTTTGCAACATTGGATCAACCTTTTCTTATACATATTTAAAGTTTACCTTACTTCTATAATATGAAGTTAATGCATTATATAAACCTTTTACTTAAAAAAAGAAGAAAAAGTTATAGGTCTATCTGCCTTTTCTTCTTCTTTACTGTATCTCCTCAATCCATTGTATTGCAATCCTCAAGATCATGGAGCTATCCTCAATCTCCAACCAATGGGTTGGATGGCTATGGAGATATAGAATGGGGCCACCAAAACATGACATGACTTGGAGGGTTGGTCCCTCCTCTCCGACCCATTGATTTCTTGAATGGATGGTTGGTCCCTCTCTCTCATTCTCTATCACTATTCAAACCATTAATTATAGGGTGGGGTTTGTATAGAGCTTAGGCTCTAAACAATCAAATTTGAGCCTACTTTCAAATAGTATTAAGATATATGGTTTCAATACTAGAAATCTTTGTGATAGCCTTAGAATATATTTCACTGTAATTTATAAAGTTTAAAGCTTTCAAAAATAGTGTAAATTGACAGATCTATGAAAACTTGAAAACTTGAAAATTGACGATCCAAAAATGTGTTACAAAATATACTATTTTTAAAACTTGAAATCTTTTTTTTTTTTTTTTTGTGTGTCCATGCATGTTGATGTATTAGTTTGAGGATATTTGGACATGAAAACAACCTCTTGTAGCGAAAGTTTTTTTGATAGGCTCCGATTTGATTGTTTAGAGCTTTGGCTCCATATAAATTTTCCCTTAATTTATATGGTCCAACCCTATTAATTATAATGTAGGGTGGCGAGCCTCGTGGCCACGTGTGGTCAAGAGCCATTGATTTGTATTTAATGGTGGCATGGGCCAGACCAGTCTTGTCCCTAGCTCGGCTCTTGTACGTGTAAGGCCACGTTAAAAACTAATGAGGGAAAAATAACCAAAAAAAAATAAGGCTTGGCCTGGCACTGACGGGGCCCTAGTCCTTAAACCAAAGTTCGTAGCCCATGTCCTGCTTTTTTTAGAGCCAGGCTGACCAGCCCTACTTGTGTTATGCACTCCCAAATGTTCTACTTGTATGGAGCTATCTCAGCTCACCGGAATTAAACAAAAAATTTACCTTTTCTAAATAACTGTACAACAAGCCACTGCCAATGGAGCCAAAAATAGATATGTGGGGACATGAAGTTGAAGGCGAATTTCATGAAATGGGTGTAACATATAGCAGAAGGTGTTTTGGGAACTTAGATAAGTGTGATTACAAATTTTTTAATTGACATAATCTTTCACTCTTTCCTTTTATCACATTTTTAGGGAGGCCAATTTTTTGGCCGATTTTGTTGACATGAACAACATAAATGTTGTATCCTTTTTTCTTATTTCTCATTCGATGTCTGTGCATGTATACTCTCACGAATCTTATATGATTCCCTTGCTAAGAGTGGTTTCTCTCTCCTTTTCTCATTTGTTCCATATGATGTAATCCAAACATTGTAGTTTCTTCTCTTAACAAAATTAAGATTAGTAAAAACAAAAAAAGCTGTACAACAGGCGCATCAATGCCATTCAAACCTCAAACGTGGCAAAATCCTTATACGACCTCATACATACATACATACATTCGTTCTCTCTCTCTCTCTCTCTCTCTCTCTCTAGGCTAGATACATGATCCCATCTGAATACGACATGGTGGAGGACATTATACCCAAAGCAGTAAGGCAAGATGCCACACACCTTGCTTCTTTCCATCTCATTTGAATATTTTGCTCCTCTCTATCTCTATATATATATATATATATATTGCCTCAAACCACTGCCACTGCCCTAGATGTAGGGCTATGGAGCAAGTCAAAGGTTAGCATAGATGCCCTCATCTTTCTTAGAGGACTCCCATCACCATCCCTACTTGTAGGACTATAAGTAGTAGTATCAATAGTAGAAGAAGGTGAAAATGGGGATGGGTTTGTTCTCTTATAAGGTCCTAACCACTTGTTGTGCATGTACTTGTGCCTTCTCCATGGAGCTATGTGCATCTTGTTCTCTTTCATACACTGCTTAGCTGCGGAGCACACAGCCTTTACGATAGTCCTCAGCCGTTCCGGCTTGCCCACGTAGAGCTCAGGTAGGCGAGCGACGAGGCGATTGTATTCGTTGTTGCCACGTGCCATTTCGAACTCAGCTCTAAAGTCGAGTTCTATCACCACGCGTGCGGCTCTTCTCTCTTGGGTTGAGGCTTGTACCACGTCTATGTACTCATGCTCACCTATGGATACATAAATTTCCAGGTTTTAGAAAAAATTCAAAAGGTTAAAAGGGGGAATTGCAAAGAATCAAAAGAATGGATAAAAAGCATGAGAAAGATTATTTAAGACTCAAATAGAAAAAGGTTGAGAACTTTTACCGATAATGGCATGAGAACTTTAGCCTTTTCTTAGGGAAAGATATAAGATATTTAACCAACTTAAAGAATTTAATGACGTGGTTAAATCAGCTAATTTTTCAATAAAGTGATTATTTATTAAAAAAAAATTCTCTATGTACCTTTTCTTAATTATTTCTCAAGTAAATTGTTTACAGAGAAGTTAATGGGTTGGCAGATTTTCTTGGGAAAGGGATACGATACCTTTTATCGCAGACTTTTGGTCTCTGACTCAATAATATCTTTTTACGTCTTTAATATAATCTCTTATTTCTATAAAAAAAACAGATTATTTCTTTAGGAAATGCCCAAAGTGCCTATATTCTTGGCTTGGAATGATGTCCCAACAAGTAAGAAAATAATTATAATTTGACTATGTCCGTTGCTCGAGCCAAATAACTTAAATAACTTTGTTTGTTTTAGGCTATAAACTAAAGAAATAACCTAGAATATATTTTCTCATTAAAAAAAAAAAAATCATCTTCTTTGGAAGTTAAAACAAGCTCGAATACCTATATCTTTAGGCTCAAGTGACTTTCAGGGGGGGGATAAATTACCAAAATCCCCCCTCCCGCTTGTCCCAAGTTCCAAACATGGAACGACAAATTGTAGTGTGTCAATAACATGTTTTGAGTGTAGAGCCCAAAACAAGCATAGTTAATTCGCTTGTCTAGCTCATGACCCAAGTGGTTTGAATTATTAAGATACCCTTGCTGGTTTAGGAAAGGTCTCGAGGAGGTATAAATGAAAGAAATTTTCCCAAAAAAACAATTTTTTTTTGGTAAATTTCTTCATTTAACCACCACCTTAATTGTTTAAGGTGCTTTATCCATGATTTGTTTTTCAAGGGATTTTTTTTTTTTTAAACTTCTCTAATGTTTTCGTATGCATCTCCAAAAATCCCCTATCATAAAACTCTGTTTCAAATATTTTTATTTTTATTTTAATATCTTTTTAGAATGCCAATTCTGATTAATCTTGATAAAAAAATCCGCCAATCTTTTCGTTAATTTTTTTGTAATAAATTTTTAGCCGAAAGTAAAAAAAACAAAAGCTCGAACCCTTACCAGCAAGCCTAATCCAAAAGAGGGTTGGGTAGGCATCTCTCACAGGTAACAAGCACAACATCGGATAGAAACCAGAACCAGAAAACATGGAATGGGGTTATGATAGTCATCTACGTGCATGTAGGGGGCAAATACCGTCATTTTTACATAGTCCAATGGTCCTCATGCTCATAAACTCAAGTGGGACCCATGAGGATTTCGAGGATGTTCATGTTATGAGTTTGTCCTCATTTTATCACAATTATGAAAAGGACAGAGAAGCGAGTATGCGTTGAATAAGAATGAGAGCTGTTTTTTAATGCGATTTTTGTTGGCATGTTATTATATCCGGTTGAAAGGAAAAACGTGCTGCATACAAAAAGATCATATTCTTAGGTACTTATGTTTAGGCTGTAACGTGAAAAAATCGGGTGTTTTTGTGACACATTGGATTTTAAATTACGATAACAGTAATTGTAATTTTTTATATTGATAATCTTGAAAATGTATATAAACATAAGAATTGAGAATGAGAGGTGAATTACTGAATTCTCACACAAATGTTTATTTATTGATCTAGGTGGTATTTGAGAGGGTTTTTTGTAAATATCTACAAGCACGGTGGTTTTGTAAATCAAAACAGAGGTTAAGATGTTAATAACATAAGGAAAAAAATATAAGGAGATCATTTATTTTGTAATAGAAAGAGCTCGTCAGATTTCAAAATTGAAATTAGGTTGGGTGTGGGTATTTGGTTAAAGACAAAGCTTAAAAAAATCCTCAAACATTGAGATTTAATGTGGAAAAAGAAATGCAAGTGGGGGTATACCTGGTGGTGTAGAGGGGGAGCTCCTCCATTTAGATTTGCATAGAGCAGAGTCATAAGCGGCCTTTTGTAAGTAACAAACGACATCTCTCCTTATGCAACTCCTGCACCCGTTCTCATCTCTTACTTTCGAGCATATGCAAATCACACGCTCCCTCGCCTTCTTCACTGCCTCACTCGCTTCCTTTCTCACCCTTCCCTCAAATGAGCTGCCCCTGCTCATTACTTCCTGTTTTTCCATATACTTTAAACATTATTATACTTTCATCCACACACACAAAATAAAATAAAACCTAACCTCCTCTTATAATTAACATTAATTCATAATTACAGCAGATCCCAATTAATTCATTGAGAAATGGAGGAGAAATAGGGATGATGATTATGAATTACGATTGAAGTCTCTTCCACATATAAATAACACTGAACTTAACAGAACAGTTCCAATTATAAATCTATGATCAGGACTGTCGGCTCTCTCTCCCCCGCACATAGTAAACTGTAAAACTAAGGATTCAAGCATATCAAAAGACCGACTCTCTCTCTCTCTCTCCAGAATTACCTCGAGAAGCCGGTGCTGTTCCTGCCAAAATTCGGCCCCCTCGTTCCCCAAATCCGCACTTCCCTCTTCTCCATCACTCCCCCAGTCCATAATCACCTCCCCTTTTTCTTCCTCCATGAACCCGATCTCCATGTCTTCAAGGCTTCCGTCCTCGCCGGAAAACCCCCCACCAGCTGGCAGTTTCCCATAATTTCCCGGCCAAGTCGACGGAATCACGAATTCCGGCAATATTCCGGCGAGCCCCTCTTTCCCCGACGGCCACTCCCATCATCCACCCGGGAAAGTAAGGTAGAGAGAGAGAAAATGTTAAGAAATTTATATCTTTTTAAAATCCACAAAAATTATTGAGACGCGATGAAGGGACCGCGAGGGGTACATATATATCCCCAGACCCTTGGGAGCGGAGCCCACTTGCCTACGTGGACCAACGGGTCGCCGCGAACGTGTTTGCACAGGGGCATTGTCCACGTGGACGGATAAGAATGGCTTGTCCGGCGTATGGGGCCCATCTTTGGATTAGGCAAGGGTGGATCCACGTCGACTCTTCCAATAATAGGAGGAGCTGGCTCATGTGTGTATATCCCAATATTTTCCCTCCACTTAATCGTCTCCTAATAAAAATATTGACATTTTAAGCTTTACTCAATAAAATAAATGATTGGGTTTGGATCGCTTTCTTACAACGTTCTTTCTTTTTGACTAAGAATAGAGTGCATTTTATTACTGACGTAAATAATATTTCAAAAAACAATTGAAAAAGGCTATTTTCAACCTTCAATTCATCATCTCAACCTCAATATACATCGATACGAAAAAAAAAAAATTAAGTCTAGTAAATAGTGTATATTGTAATAGATTATCTATTTTCCAAAATTTTAAGTTTTTATAGTTCTACTGCATAAATTACTTTTAAATTTCATAACAATAGATTTCATGCCATTACCTATTTTTTCAACACTAAAACTACATAATGTCAATATAGTTTGGAGGTGCCGCCTTACTTCAATAGCAAACCTGGCCCTATAGAAAAAGGGTGTGGCTCATATAAAGGCGAGGTTCTAAACAATCTAAGTAGAACACACCTTCAAATAATATGGAGAAATATAGTTTTAATACTGGAAATCTTTGTAATAGCCTTAAAATATATTTTTATATTTAATTATAAAATTTAAAAGCTTTTAAAATAGCGTAGATCAAGCAGATCTATGAAAAACTCGAAAATTGACTGATAAAAAATAATTACAAGATGTAATATTTCCAAAACTTGAAATATATTTTTTTTTCTTATGTCCACGCATCGTTATGTTGCGATGATACGATATTTGGGCATCAAAACAACCTCTTCTAGTTGAAAATTTTTGAGGTGTGCTCTAATTTGATTGATTAGGCCTCAAGACTTTATGCAACCTTTTCATATAAAAAAAAGAAAAAGGTGGACTTTATTCATATAATATATATCGGTTAAGTTGCGTTTTAATATGATGATGGTATATTTATATAATAAAGGCAGAAAAGCGTGGGTCCTTTATCTAAGAATCTGCTTATCCTAATCCTGATCTTTTGGTTTCGATTATGAATACAAGGGGCCCACGTGGCGAGTGGATCGACGATACAAATCCAGCTGGTGTACACGGGGGTTAATCAAGGTCGTTGACGTGGGGCCCACGTAATAGAAGTAAGCTGAGCATGTATCGTCGTTTACTGATGGTAGCTAGCGTCTAGAGCCTTCCCTTTTTCCTGAGCGGACGAAAATACTCTTGCTTTATCCACCAAATATCCATCTTTCATGTTTCGGTGGTGTCCCTTTTATATAGAATGACGAAATTACCCCTCGAAGAAAAAGACCGACCACTACTAGAACGAGCAAGATGACTGACTGCACGAGTCCACGAAACTATTAAAACTCGGTATTTTATTGGGACTGTGAGACTACTTAATTCTAATCGTTACGTCTCGGGGTTCGGTTTGGATTTTGTTTTTTGTAAAAAATATTTGTAGAGGTCTTTTAATTCTTCATATTATTTCACCGTAGATTTTTATTATATTTCTCTTTCAATTGGCATAAAAAAGCCTTTCAAAAAGATTTTATTTAGAGTTTTTTTTATGCCGTTTGAAAAAAAATAAAAAAAAAATCTACTGAAAAATAATATGAAAAACTAAAGTTTTATATGACATTTTCTTTCCTTTTTTTTTAACTTTTAAATCTAAACAACACACTCTTACAATTATGATTGTTCTATTTGAAATTTGAAGGACAAAAATGTAACTGTTTTATACAAAAAATGAATGGTCTTTTTTATACTTTCTACTTATTAAAAACATCAAATTTATCAATTGAGACGGTTTTTATGAAACGGCTGTGTCATACGTAAATATGTACCATCTCTCCGTGATTCAATCTTCACATGGATTATGGGCTCAATTTTTTAAGGAACACATAATCTCTCTAGCATGATATGTTAAGAAGTATATATATATTTTTGAAGAATAATTTTAGACCATCAAATTTTTCCTTTTTTTCTTCTTTGGGACTACAATCCTTTTACATCCGTCCTCAAAATGGATGTTTCATGTGTCAGACGCTCAAGTAGAATTGCGTCCCCTACGCACAATATATTTTTCCTTTATCAATTTTCTTACCTATTCTCAATTATTTGAATTTGAACTCATATACCCAACAAAAAAAAAAAACTCACGATCATGCAAAATTTCACTATTTTTATGGGATTTTTATATTGAATAAGAAATGGGGTAAAATGTTTTAGGCACACCTGAAAGAACTGGTATACATTATCATAAATTGCTGACACCTTCCTCCCTTTTTTTTCTCTATTTCGTGAGCACATTTTATCTTTCCCCAAAATTTTGCTCAAAGTTGAGATTTGAAAAACAATTGGAAATAAATTCAAACCGGATGTAATAACAAGTCTAGACAATTGCCCAAGAATAGGACTTCTGGAGTCATTGAACCCAGTTCTCAAACTTGGAACCAATTAATTTCACATGGCTGACCTTGATTCTGTTAGAAAGATTTGGATTTTTGTGGAATTGCATAACAACAGTATTAGTACCCAACATATCAAAATCAATTAATTCAATGTTTCGTAGTGCTTTTTAACAAAGAGATTAGCCAAAAGATTATTAAATTAAGATAAACTTTTCTATAATCTTTTTAGCTTCTTGAAATTTGAAAAATCAACAAGAAAACCACCGACATAAACCTAGTTTTTGGACATGTCATTTCTCCTCCTTTTGGTTGGTTGAGATAGGGTAGGCTTGAGTTGGCCTGACCTAATCTCCTCTTACCCACCCAAAGAATAAGTAGAGATAGAACCAAGCATCTTTTTTTTTCAATGGGTTTACTAATTTTAAAACTTTCAAGATGTTGAATGGATCTTATAAGAATTAAATGTTGGGTGTACATACATAATTCTTATGAGTAATAATCCTATGAGACCCTCCCACACTCATGTTCGTAGGACCACAAAAGATCTCCCATTAAATTTGACACATATCTCTAAAAAAGTTGTCACATGGGTGTAGGAGACTTGACTTTTGACGTTTTTAAAGAGCTGTGTCAAATTTAATGGTGATCCTTAGAGATCCTACACATATGGGTGTAGAAAGGTCTCACAAAGACATTTCCCAATTCTTATTAGAATGGGATCTAGATAAGGTGTTAACCTTATCATTATTGGAGTAAGATATACCTCAAAACTATGCCAAAAATACAGCTTTACTACTGCAAAAGCTTTATACTGATACAAAAATCTATTGTCGTTCCAATTATGAAATTTAAAATTCTAAAAATAGTGAAGATAAAAATCTTATAAATGAAAGTCCAGATAACATATTAGAAGATGATCTATTTTTAATACTAAAAATCCCATTTTTTTCATGTCCATGAATTTCGACGTCTAGGATTTTTTTGTTACACCTTGCTTGTACAGTATGAGGTTGACACCTTTCATAATTTTTTTCCGTCTTTATGAAAACTACCAAGAAACAGCCGAATTTCTAAAACAAAAGAAACAGATCAGGCTATTACAATTTAGAGAGCATCATGTCGGTGGTTAGAGCGTCACTAAAAAAACAAACAAATTTCAACATTTTTTTATTTTAAATCATCACCCAACTTTATTTTAAAAGTGAAAATTAATAGTTTCAGGATTTCTTTCAAATGTTAACAATCAGAATTTTAATTATAACAAGTAATAAACTTATGGAAATGCACAAATCTGAAAAATATATCTGAACTCAAAGTTCAAAAAGGCATCAGAAAACAAACTTCAAAACAAAACTGAAACTGTGGATAGAAAACAAAATTCATTATTTTGGAATCTGTTTGATCTCTGATCCCCATTGTACCTCCCATAATTTCCTAATTACAGTCCAAAATTTCAAAAAGCTTCTTCAGAACAATATACATATGTGCAATTGTAGACTCTTTAAGCATTTTACTTTGCGAGACCAACTATTTTTTTGAACTCAATGACAAAAGAGAATCAATTTTTCAATTACATCAATATATTCATGTGTATTATTTGCATGATACACAGTCAAAATTACTCTCACAAATGCCCTGCCCCACCCCTTTTTTCTCTTCTTTTTCCACCATAATATTTCCACCCCTAAATTTTTTGAAATTCCCTAAATTTTCTTCTTAAAAATATTACAACACTATCAAATACACAAATGGCCGGAATTCACACCCCACCAAAACCCGATCCAATTGGCTCCCTTGCTTTTGCAGTTGACCGAAAAATCATAAAAGAAATATTTCATCTTTTGATGAGGAATTACGGAACTCTTAATATGGGTAATTTTCCTGCGTGATTTTGGCCGGAATAGGGTGAAAAGTCACTGGAAAATCAGACCATCTCAAAGATTTTGATGTTTCCAGTGGAGTTTGCAGCCACGAGGGTTGAGGAGTGGCCTCGCCAGCAAACACATGAGATAAATTGAGAGGCATCATCGACTTCTTGACCAGTTAAGGGGTCACTGCTCCTGAACTTGTAAGATAGAACAGGCATAGGAAAGGCCTTGTGATATACAAAAACCTGAGAAACAATGGTGAAAGTAAATACAAAAACTACAAAAAGTGACAAATGATTTGATAAGAGATTAAAACAGGATAAGAGAAAAGTAAATTGCTCAGCATGGTAAAAGATGCCAATGTGTGTTAACTATCAATGAATCAGATGCACACCGAAACATATACCAAGAAGAAACCAAAAAAATTTGAGAGGGAATCCATGAGATCAAATGGCTTAGATTGCAAGTGTTCTACTAATTTTCAACAAATGGTGTTTCTATATAAGTGAGATTGGAAAATTATCAAATTAAAAGAGATAATGACAACCGCAACCTCGTCCTGATGATTGATTACAACCCCAAACAAATGAGAACTGGCACAAAATTTACCACTTGATTTCGAGAAAAATTTTCTGGTATAAGGGTCAGGGCCTTAAACTTTCCTTTTAATTTTTTTGGGTCAATAATCCAAAAATATGGAGAGATTAAAAAAGATGTCACACATAGATAATTAAAGTTGGGTAGGCAAAGTGGAGATGTGCAATCGGAATTTGAAGTGATCGCCACATACCAAAGAAGCTGAAGGGCAAGTTCTATAGGAGAGTTATGAGACCATGAGACCAACTTTGCTCTATGAAACGAAATGTTCGGTTGTAAAAAACAAAATACCCATAAGATGAGTGTAGCTGAGATAAAGGATGTTGAGATCCATGAGTCAAAAGGCAAGAAGGGATAGAATTCGAAATAAATATATTCGGGAAAATCTAGGTGTAGCACCAATAGGAGATAAGATGAGAGAAATTAAACTTAGATGGGCTGGCCATAAGTGGCACAGACTCAGTACAACACATGTTAGGAGGTGTGAGTTAGTTCAAGTGAAAGGTTAAAAAAATGACCAGGATTTGTATATCCGACCCCAATTAATTGGGAAAAGACTTTGACGATAATGATAATTTTGAGCAAAAGTTTTCACACTAAATTCAAGCAACCACAAACAAGGGGAAAAATGATCATATACTTGGAAAGATCCAATCGAGTAAATGCTACATTTGAATATAGGATTATTCAATTTATTTGTAGAATTCTTTTTGCTGGCCAAATCGAAACCCATCTAAACTTTGATCGTCTCAGTTGCCAATTTCAAATCATGTTTCTGTGTAACTTTTTGTTTTCACAACAACAATTTCAAACAAAGGTCAGAAATCATAATTAAGTGCTAATTTTCTAAAACATCAATTTCTTCCCCACAGAAACAGATTAAAATATAAGAAGTTGAATAAACATGCAAATGGCACTAGTGGAAGATACATAAAAAAAAGAAATACTCAACTCCGGTTCAGAAAAACTTACTTGTCACGAGTTCATAGTTATATAAAAATCCTCAACTTGCCAAAGATAAAATAAATATTTGAAAATCAACTATTTTTGAACGTGTAGGGTTCATGGTTATATAAAAACCCCCAACATGCAAAAGGTAAAAGAAACATGTGATAATGAACTACTTTTTAATGTGTACCAATTGTACTAGACACTCTAGAATATTACATATTTCACCAACCATATAAAGAAAAGAAAACTGGGCTGTCCTCCAATTTTGACAAGAGGCAAAGGTCGGCAAATCTTCTATATACCAAGCACGAGATAGCTCGTTCACACGTGGCGGTCACGGATGTTTTTGGCTATCACATGATTGAAACATGAAAAAAATAACTCCATTTATTATTCACTTTTTCATTCTCTCCCTAAAAGTAGAACGAAAAAGGTAAACACGCCTCTATCTCCTCTACTGTGATCAAACATATGCCAATATCTAATTTCTATCAAAGTTAGAGACTCTTGCCACACAGCTATTTGTTCCACCCCACAAAGCAAGTTTGGTAAATATATTTTCCAGGTAAATAATAAGTCATCGCAAAAATGTCAAGCGATTTATGGTTTTTCTATTTTTTCTGGTATTTTAAAGCCCGGATCAAGAGGGTGGACAAATCTACATCCAATCATGGAAAATATTTACATATGAATAAAATAAATAGAAATTAAAATACGGATTTGTCAGGTGCGGTTTAAGAGGGACCTAAGATACAAAAGACAATTTCATCCTTATATTTGATAATATACTGTGTACATAATATTTTTGTTTAAAATGGCCCATTTTAACGTTATTTTCAAATTTGTTTGTTATTTATTACACATAGTAATTAAAATATTCAATATAGCACGAAAATGTAGCTATAGAATAAAATTAGAACAGCTCATTATTTTGGAATTCAAAATTTTACTTAAAAATCAAAATAAAATTAAAATTTATAATTTGCTTCATACTAAAAATTGTAATTTATAACTCAAAATCCAGAATTAAATTTTTATATAAGTATCTGATAACGCCAAAGCAGATCGCCAAATTTTTAATTTAAAAATTACTTCTCAATCAGTCTGTTACTCAAATAGATGATACATACACTATGAATGAGAGAGCACGCCACTGAGCTAATTTTGGCATTTCCCACAGTCGCCACATCACATAACAACAATAAATGCTTAAACATTTAATTATTTCTTTTTATTTTTAATTTTACCAATATTTTTATGCTAAAATAATAGGAGATTTCTTTTATTATAATAATAAAATGATTCATGAATTTTATAGTTTCTTATAATTGTATGCTAGCTAATAAATATATTGTTTTAATAAAATCCATTAAAAATATAGGCTATATATTTTAAAAATTATTTATAAATATTTTGTAAAAACTCAATTTTGTAATTTTTATATGAAAAGGTTAAACTTTTTGAAGAGACTCATAGTTAAATAATTCCATTTTATGGGCACAATTTTAAAAGTTAGGTTCTTTAATATTTGATTAATAAACTAATTTATTTTAACACCATAATTATAAACAAAAACTTTTAAAAATTATTTGTGATTGATGTTATAATTTCTAAAATTTAACAACAATTTTTTATTTACATTATAACGATATTTAAAATCCAAATTTAGTAAGGTCAATAGCTAGAATTTTTAAAAATAGGTGTAAATAATTTACTAAATTAATTTTTTTCAATTATAGCTTTGAAAATTCAAATTTTCTCACAAAAGGTGAGTGATATTGAAATGCACAGTTTATTATTAACAAAAAATTATAATTCCACCTTAATTAGAATTTGGGTATGGGCTTTGACTAGAAACAACCTTATAATGTAGTCTAAGCGGACCACAATAAAGAACTTTCCTTTGTCAACTTCCAAGGCAATCCAATGCACATGCCCCTTTAAACTTTATAATGAAATAATATATCTAGTTTAAATAAATTCTACATTCATGTTTACTTCTTTAAAATAAGTTTCACACAAGTTGTGGGTAGCACAACCACCACAAAAATGGCGCACATTGTACCGGTCTAATTAGTAGTTTACCTAAGATTACTAAAAACACAAACTATGAAAGCTGGGTTTAGGCGATTCTCGATTCAAATCGGAGGGTTTAAAACACTACTTGGAGGAGTCAGCCACCAATCTTTGATAAGTGACCAAATGGAATTGGCAATCCCGCTTTCACTAATAAACGGTATTTCATAGGTGAGTGAACTTCGACATAGAAAAAGATGGACTCCAAGGAAAATCAATAAGTGAAGTCGTAGTTCGACTATAATTTTTATATATGGGGTTTACATTATATTTTACTAAAATTTTCAGATCTTAATTGATTTTAATTAATTTTATAATTTTTGTTATCCTGTAACTAAATGTGGCGAGAAGCAAGCAACAAAAGAGCGCGCTAGTTCATAGAAGCAATAAAATGTATAATTAAATTTAAAAATTATTGTATTGTAAATTATGATTATATGAAGTTATCTAATTATCTATTTTTACATATATTTAAATTAAATATATTTATAACTTACAAATATCTGATTTTTATATGATTATAAATATATCTTTGTAACTTATTACTTATAGCTTACAAATATTTAAATTATTTTTTATAAGTTACAAATATAACTTATAATTATAACAAACTCTCATAAAGTTGATTAATAAATCTAATTGATCTAAAATAAATAACATTAATTACAAATAAATCTACAATATACTCTAATTGCAAGACCACAATAAAGAACTTCCATTTAGAACTTCTAGGAAATCTAACTCACTTCTAGGAAACAATATATCCAGTTTAAATAAATTTTACATTCATATTAACTTCTTTAAATAAATTTCATACAAGTTGAGTGGGTATCACAACATAATGATATCACACGACAAATAGCACTACTCTGAGCAGTAATTTATTTAAGACGAATACTTGTTAAAATAAAGAGGTCGTCACTTGGTGTGACGGTCAAGGCTCGGGTAGCCAGCGAGCACGAGTTCGAGTCCTGAAAGCGGCCACTATGTGCATAAAAAACCAAAAGTTATGACCGCTTCCAGCTCACCCCTCCTGGACCCCCTGTATAGGCGGGACCAACACCGAGTTACGGTCCTTACTTGTTAAAGCATTTATTGATATACTTAATCTGCATCATTTTTGGAATTTTAAATTTCATAATAAGGGTGGAACATAATTAAAGTAAATGTAAAGTACATGAACCAAACTTCTGAAAATGAACAAAAAAATACAATATAAAGAAAAAGTATATCCTCATGATCATGAACGCACTCTCTATCAAACACTAAGTTTCCTTCTCAAAATTCCCGTTTTAAAGCTACATCTATTATTGGGAAACAACGAAAATCGCACTGTCATTGAAAAATATTATCAGTAGAAATCATTCAAACATGATCCGGAAAATATGATAAACCATACAAAAAAATTAGTAAAACAGTGCAACTCAAAGAGACACCGCTGCAGAGTCTCTCTCTCTCTCTCTCTCTCTCTCTGCAATTTTGCCGTAGAACAGGAATAGCATCAACATGCTTACTGTTGTTGCCACGAGCTGCTACAGAAATCATCTGGAAACAGTTGCCAACCACCACATCCTATGCGCACAGAGAGAGAGAGAGAGAGAGAGAGAGAGAGTTGGTTCGCTTCAAAAAAGTGTATGGGTCCTCTCTTCCTTTCAGTAGATCCATTGGGATAGTTTTGTCAAAATTTCAGAGTAGGAGAAAAATCTCTGCTACTTCACAAATAACCATTTTTGTGCTATGTTATAATATCTTGTTTGGCAACTGAAAAAAAGAACTAAGTATTGAGTATTCTATAATTTTAGGTCCTTTCATCCTACTAAGTTATCACTACCTCTTACCTTGAGATAATGCCCAAGTCTAAGAAGAACATAATAAAAAATCAGATTTGATGAGCCGGTGGAACCCGGACCCACTATGAACTACCCAGGCAAGGTTTAACCAAACAAAATGAGGCATTGGTCCAATTAACATATAAATAATGCTGAGACAAGAAATTACCTCATTTGTCTCAGAACCAGTGGTGATGTACCCATCAGATATAGATAATCCAACAAAATTCTGAAAGCAAATAGAAGACATATTAAGAGCATAACTTTTCAAAACAAAAGCAAAAGCACTATCAAGTTTGGCAAGATAACTTGCTACAAGTGGCAAGATAAAAAAAAAAAACCTACAATTAGATATTTTAAAGTATACATCAATATATAGACACTATGAAAAACAATCATAACTTATCTCGTGAGAGATTACAAGCAAGATTCCTTGTTTTTGTTGCCAACTCAAGTGGGCCCAACATATGACATTAAAAAAAAAAAAAAAACTCAGACCTCAACCCAGACGAATGGAACGGCTAATGCCATACGCAGTGCAGCGTCTCATGGATTATATAACCATCTTAAAAAAAAGCGATTCCAATTAAAAATGTTAATTAAATGGAATATTTCCGTGAGAAAGCGATATAATAAGTCAGGGAGTAAATTAGGAGATCACAGCCACAACTTTGATAAAAATGATGGAGGCTGATAGATTGATCACCAACAGTAAGCCATTGATAAACATTTACTACGCAATCTCAGCACTTTCATACACCATTATGTCTGGCAGAACACTTTGTTTAATTTGCCAACTTGCCTGCAATCCAAGTTGCACTGAACCTTACACATGTCATCAACAGGATCATCAACATCATCGCTCTTAACTCTTCCCCTCATCATTTTCAACTTGAGAAAGTATACTATGACTCACATAACCACATCACATATCATAAGGGTCAGCACTGTATAATAGATCATTTGGATGGTGATGGAGAAACAGAACAGGATCTGTCTACCATTAAACATGACATTAATTCAATTGAACACCATTCATTCTCCATCACTGTCCAACCCTAGCTTGGACAGTGAAGACCCTTGCGACCACATGGCTAGTGCTCATATGATCATACTATACCTCCCCTTTCAAATTATTTAGTAGAGAAACAAAACCACATAAACATCACCCTTCCCCCCTTCCATGCTTGGCGCCTCCCCAGATACAACTGTTGCCACATGGTTAAATTCCACTCGGCTTTTCCTTTAGCAACTTGGCACAGAAAAGGACATGCAGAAGTCTTTTTGAACAGAAGGTTCATTAAAGACACAAGACCAATGATGCATATTTTGCTGGTAACTAATCATCACATTACTATGCATGATTAAAGGGTATCTTCGACTTTTTACATTTACATTATTGCATACAAGCATGTTCCTATAACTTTGTAGGGTTTCAATCTAAGGCATCATCTGAATTCAACTAGAGCAGGATTTGAAAAAAGAATTACAAGAAGAGACACATATGTAAATCAAGCAAAAGTATAATGACAATTTTAAAAAACTATTTTAGATTAAATATGTCCAGCGAACACTAGAGAAGCAAGAGCTATTGGAAGGACATAAAGGCACTTCATCTTGCATCCCTTCAAGATGCATAATAGAAAGATCAAACACTTATACACCAACAAGCTCTCAAATGTGTGATGAAACATACATCCAACTTAAGTCAATCATACAATACTTAGATCCAGAGATGAATATAAAGGGCACATGTAAAGACAATCAGAAGAGAGGTGCAGAGTTTGTCTTTCCAAAGGCCCACTCAAACTTAACATCTTGAATATCTGGAGATGTCAAATCTTCGGGTCCTCAAAATGTCAAAATGCTCCTCTTAAGTTCTTCTAACAAGCCATAATGATTCACAAATACCTGTTTGGGTTTGTGGCCTTTAAAGCCCATAAGTACGTAAATATAATAAATATAGTGATTTGTAAACTTCAATGCGAGTGTATGTTCATTGACCGACCCAGAGTTAGGCAGTCTATGGCCCGGTTCTTATATCCAAAACCTTTTACCTTGGGCATAAGCACCACTCTTGAGGGTTTCAGGAGGCTCAGCCCTTGTTGAGGTTAGAGAAATGCCCAGGGATGCTTTGTAGGCCAGGAGAGCTCCGAAATCTCCCATTTGCAGTTGCAACCTATAAGAGCGAAGGCCAAAAATCTCAACGAACTTCTTCACGGCATGTACATATGACAACCACATTCTGGGAAGCAACCCTATAGAGGGATACGTGTATATATGCAAAGAAGAGTCCCCATTGTACTGTAGTGATAGTACATCTGACTTGCTCCTGGGGGGAACCTGTAATCAGTACACTAGGACATTGGTTCTACTATTTATTGGACAGCTTTGAAAGGCCAATTATGAGCCTCTATGCATAACTATGGGTAACCGGTTCCGTTGGTTAGTTGTGCATCATGATTTTTGGCTCAGGTGGAGTGTCCTAACAGTCACTTTTCTTGACCCATTAGTACAAATCCACTTCTAGATGTACTTCGAACTATTTTAGTTTTTTAAGGACATCAGAAACATTGACTTTAGCTTTGATTGTGATTAATTGATTTCTAAGACTTCAGCAAGGTTTAAAAAAACGCTAGGCAGCCCCTAGGCAACCAGCGCCCAGGCCCTAAAGTATAAATTTTTAAGAACATACATGTGTTGTCCAATTCAATTTATTTTATTTGAAAATATTGTAACATATTTTTTTATATACAAACATACAACATATCGCATGTTTAGAATAAACTTGTTCAAAATTTCAAAATTCAAACCATACAAAATTTAAAAAAATTTAAAAGTTTAATAGGCTATGTATTAGTAATAGTCTCCAACTCTCCATATTTCATAATAATATGGACTCCAAGTCTCCAAATCTTCAACAAACTTACAAAAGTATAAAATAGGACATTGGTTCTACTATTTATTGGACAGCTTTGAAAGGCCAATTATGAGCCTCTATGCATAACTATGGGTAACCGGTTCCGTTGGTTAGTTGTGCATCATGATTTTTGGCTCAGGTGGAGTGTCCTAACAGTCACTTTTCTTGACCCATTAGTACAAATCCACTTCTAGATGTACTTCGAACTATTTTAGTTTTTTAAGGACATCAGAAACATTGACTTTAGCTTTGCTTGTGATTAACTGATTTCTAAGACTTCAGCAAGGTTTAAAAAAACGCTAGGCAGCCCCTAGGCAACCAGCGCCCAGGCCCTGAAGTATAAATTTTTAAGAATATACATGTGTTGTCCAAACGCACATGTGTTTTTTATGTCAATTTTTCAATTTATTTTATTTGAAAATATTGTAACATATTTTTTTATATACAAACATTTAACATATCGCATGTTTAGAATAAACTTGTTCAAAATTTCAAAATTCAAACCATACAAAATTTAAAAAAATTTAAAAGTTTAATAGGGCTATGTATTAGTAATAGTCTCCAACTCTCCATATTTCATAATAATATGGACTCCAAGTCTCCAACTCTCCAAATCTTCAACAAACTTACAAAAGTATAAAATAGCAACGAAAATCATTAAAATAGAGAATCTGATATTTCAATCATTCCAATCCCATTAAACAACCTATTATACGATCCAAAAAGGCTAAAAGTCTAACATCCAAATGTCTAAGAGATTGGGGGCTTATGGAAGTGTTATTTTAACTTTAGGGGTTGAAAATAACTCCCGTAACCTATTTAAAACTTTTTGGGGGTCAAAATTAGCTCCATTTGCCTTTTTGGGCATCTTTAAAAATCGATAAAAGGCCCACGTCCCTGGGTACCCGCCTAGGCACCCACCTGACACCTGCCCATGTACATCCGCCCAGAATGGGGCGTCCAAGTCTAGGCGTATGGTCATAGCGGCCTTGGACGCCTAGGTGCCGGGCGGACCGTTTTTTGAAACCTTGGACTTCAATTTTTTTTTAATTTATTTGAAAAACTAGGAAGGGCAAAATTGATATCTCACGATTTAGCAGGGACCAGTTTTAAGTGGGATCTACGTGGGAGGCCAAGGGTCCAGCTCCCACACATTGGTAGACATTGGTAGGCCACATAGTGGTAGGACATGGGGCCCACAAGGGCCACATAACCCATACAATGTGGGACACCCCTAATAAAATTTAAACTCTTATTTTTATTATTTGTTATAGAACTCCTAATACATTTGAATTAGTATTCCTACTTGGACTAGGACTCCAACTTAGGAAAAAAATTCAAACTAAATAGAAGTCTATCCTAACCTAGTTTGACTAGAAGTGGATATGAGTTAAGATTTAGGGAATAAGGTCCCCAAAATTCATCCCTAAATCATGATAGCTGATTTTTAGGTGGATGTCTTAAGCTTCCCCAAAAAAAAGGTTTACATTTTATAACCAGAGATCTTCATAAACTGTCAGAGAAACATAGAAAATCTCATATGTTTGAATCAGAGCTTGAATAGCTTTGAGGAAGAACATAACTAGGAACTCTCGTCATAAGCAAGGTACACCGAGTTTATATAAGTTCTAGTTGTCAATGTCCAAAGTATTATTTGATTTTGAGTCTATGTAACACTTTGTAACCCACAAATCAAAGTTATTTCTTTTTGTATATTGATCAGATGTAAATGAAACATGTCTTACGAGTGCTTAGAACATGCGCTGAAGCTGAAGCTGAAGCTTAAGACATCCGCCCATACTTCTCAGCTGAAGCTGAAGCTTAAGACATTGAAACGTAAACCTTCAGCTCAGCTAAGTATGGGCTCTAAATTGAAATGTAAACCCTTTTTTTTTAAAAAGAAGAAGTTAGACACCCTTTATATAGAGGGTCGAGACTCCTTGAACAACGGTGAGATCCCAATTAGCGTTTAGGTCCCTCTAGTCTCGGAGACAGGTTTCCAATTAGCGTTTAGGTCCCTTCGTCCACATATAGTCCCTTAGTGAAGAATCTTGTCCCGTCCTGTTCGTCAGTGGGCGGAAGACAGACTTCTTGAACAAGGAAGGCTTGTCATCTACTTTGGAGATTTTCCTCCATTTTCTAGAGTTGTATACCTTCTAGTCATGAGAGAATATTATTCCAAATATTTCATGTCTTATTGAACACAAATCCAGGAAATCATGGATCAAATATTCAACCCATCAATGTTTGCCAGAACTACATTGGCACAACTAGGCGGCTGATCCTGAAAATCATGTTTTTTTATTATG